TATATATAGTCTCTTCTCATCTCAGGCTGTGACTGCTGACTGTGGAGCCATTGTTTTATATATAGTCTCTTCTCATCTCAGGCTGTGACTGCTGACTGTGGAGCCATTGTTTTAATGCTAATTGGGTATAACTTGTTCATTCCACGAATGCCTTTCGGCCCAGTTTTTTATGGTAGTGTATCCAAATGTGTATTTCCAAATGACATTTGATAACCGAGGACGGAGGCTGTTTCCATACAAGCTCATCTGGTCTACTTTGCACATAGAGGGTATCTTGACGCTAATGTGTTTGTGCCGTTGATGAGGCCGGGCAATATGTGAAATGAGCTCTCTTAGTGGGACATGAGGGGATTTCAGAGAAACATTCTGCACACAGCAGGTTTTTTTTTGGGGGGGGTGTTAATTACTATACTGGTCAGAGGTTTTCCTCCACCATCTCAGACCAATGCTATTGAGTATCTTTAGTGTAGCATGCCAACATGATATGTTAAACTAACTATTTTTGTAAAATACATTTCAAATCGATCCAGTGTTAAGTCACACAAAGCAGTTGAGAGGAGCAGACATCTAACTGAACTATAGTACCGTACACACACACATCTTCTCTATTTTAGCTTTTCCTTTTGCTGAGCCTGAGCAACTGTGCTACTGCACGTGAGAACTCGTATGCCTTCCAGTGCTGTGTATTTAAGTGCTTGATTAAATAGTAATTAGCCCGGCTGATGCCACCCTTTGAAACACTCGCATTGTGATGCTCAGCTCTGGCTGTTTTTAGTGACTCCACTCTGCACAGTTGGCTGCTGCCCAGATGCTTTCAGATCAAACTGCACTGCTGTAAGTAATGGGGGAGTAATGGGGGACACTATTTGCTGTCTTTGTTTTGATGCAATTGGTGTTTTATGCAAAGCATTCTGAATTGCCTTGTTGCTGAATTGTGCTATATAAATAAAGCTACCGTGGCTATTAGCAAGCAGAGACAGTGATGCTAATGCCGAATTTCCACTGCATGGTATGACCCTTTTTGGGTTTTCTATTAGCAGAAGTTGTGGATAGTACCTGGTTGGTTCACTGTACTTTTTTTGTCACCACCTCCGCTGAGGTTCTAAGCAAGCTGAGCCGATGAAATGCGGCGTAACTGCTCCTCGGTGCTTTGTTAGGAGTGTGTGCAGCAGTGACGGCCTTGTTAACTGTCCCATAGGAGTAGGCCAGAGAGCAGTCTGGGGGGGGGAGTGGCAGTTTGGGTGTTTCTGCACACAACAGTAGAGCCTGTTATCATCGTGGGAGAGGAGGAGACGGATGAGCTGATAACTCAGAGGGAGAGACGTGACTTGGCAAGGGAGGAGGGAAGGGAGCCCACAGACAAGGAGAGGCTAAAAGGGAGGCCTGTTGGTGTAAGAAAGCCAGCCCATGTGCTCCCATCTCCTCTTTCGCCTCCTTAATGTATCGTCCTCTCTTTTCTTTCTCCCTTTTCCCCATGACCTCTGCAGCCGAGCTCTGATTAAATACAACTGTCTGGGTCGGTGTGTGAGGAGAGGCTCCACCTGAGAAGTAATAATGATAATCACAAAAGACAAAGACGGAGAACAAAACAAAGTGGAAGTGAGTGGTTGTCTCCGGAGAGGTTGTGGAACGGATCTCCTCTCGCAGTGATGAGAATGATAAAGAGATGTTGAGAGACATTTTGTTTCTGTTACCAGGTGACTGTGTGTGTGTGTGTGTGTTTGTGCGTGTGTGTGTGTGTGTGTGTGTGTGTGTGTGTGTGCTGAAGGTCACTGCTATCTTCTGCTTCCCACTTTGTTGCCCAAAGGCACACCCACACCGTCTCCCCTCTCCTCCGCCTCAGACATGCACTTAGGCCACCTCGTGAACTCTTGTCACCGCTCTCAGCCCAAACACCTCAGCTCATACATGGCTGCGGCCATTATGCACATTTCTGACATGCAACTACTGCAGACGCCCCCCCCCCCCCCCCCTTGATGTGCGTGCACGTTTGTCCACAGAGGGCTGTGCTTTTCCAGTGGTTCCCATGTCTGGATCTGACTGAAATGTTGGCAGCCCTGTGGGGAGCCTCGAGGATTTCTTTCCTCCCACTGCACAGTTCATAAAGTAATAATCAACATTTTGGGAAATGCACTTATTCACTTATTGTTAGGCGAGAAGATTGATACCATTCTTGTGTTGAATATGAACCTTGAGAAAGGAGGTGCTTAGCTCAACATACAGACTGGAAGCAGCTAACCGGGGTCTGTCCCATCCACCATCAGCTCTAAAGCTCTCTAACTAACATGCTGCGTCTCGTTTGTTTGATCTGTATTAAAAACAAAATGTGAAAATGGCAAGTTGGGGTTTTACCGGAGGGTTATGTGCCGGAGCTCAAAAGGTAATCCACAGACACAAAGTGGCATCGAACTTCTCCTCTAACTCTCAGCAAAAAAAAGTGAATTTAAATTTCTTTTAAATGTCAAATTCTACCTTTTTAAACCCTCCTCTTCCCCTCTCTCCACCTGTTTCTCTAAACTTTTTGTCATTAGTCAAATGTTTTCACAACTGTCTGCAACTTGGAAAACAACCAGGCCAGTGTATGCTGTTGTGTGCACATGTGCAGCTCGTGTGGTTCTACAGCCATGCGTGAGAGCACGCATGGCTGTAGAACCACACCCTGGACTCATGCCACACTTTAAACCAAACACAGAGAGAGAGAGAGAGAGAGAGAGAGAGAGAGAGAGAGAGAGAGAGA